CGACAAGTTTTGGACTGCAAGGCTGGGGCTGTGTACTTATGGTTTAAGGGAAAAAAAGACCCTTGGTGCCAAGCAGCTGAGATATCCTTTCTCCCCATGATGGGTGTTGGTAGGGTCTTTAGCATCATGTGTGTGTGTGTGTGTGTGTGTGTGTGTGTGTGTGTTATGCAATAGTACTTGTATCAGGCTATATGCCTGTCATGACACGGCAAGCGCACCACCAAGCTCCGAGCTCAAGGGCGGTTAGCAGAATAGAAACTAGGATGGGGAGGAAGGGACGCAACCCTAGTACTTAGGCTAGCAGGGGTACACCAAAACCAATAGGCAAATTAGGCATAAGACAATAACTTCAATAAGGCGAAGGGCAGCAGGAAACAAAACTCACAACAGAACGCAAGGTAGCAACGTCCACACAGGCTGGCAGGCAGGGGGGAGGCGGGTGGGCAAACAAACAGTGCAAGACAACAGAAGGAACAGCAAGTGGAAAGACGATGAAGGAAACGACACGAGGCGACCAGACAAAGGACGACACGTAAAAACAACAGGAAAATGTTGGAGGGCACAGAGGAGGCAGTGGGTACACCAGACAGCGAACAAAGGCATGTGACAACAAGGCAAACAATAAGAGGCAACAAGAAAGGACACCCGGCTGGACGCCAAGGGGAAAGCGAGAGCCTCAGGGCAGATGACACCCAGGCACATAAATCAGGCAGACCAGTAAAAGTACAAGTCCAAGAAAAGAATCCAAGGACCGCAAAAAATAAAACTGATCATAGATTGTGTCAATGGAGTTGCACCAACTCATCAGGAAAGGTGTTAAGCATGATGAAGGCAACATAGAGGAGTTGGGGGCCTCTCTGTTGTCATAGATGGGGGAAGATTACAATCAGGCACACAAAACATGCCGACCAGAAAAGTACCCAGTCCCAAAAAAATTACCAAAGATCGAAAAGATTGAACTGATGATATTGCACCGCCTGATCCGGGGCAAGGTCCCCACTTGCACGTCTCAAGGAACGCTGGACCCGTTTTCCAGCAGGTGATGCTCCCCACCAATAGATGGAGCCTCCCCAAGCCTGCTAGAGGCGTCTGCTTTCTGTGGTCAATATCGCTCAATTCGTGTAATTGGGGACATAGCCCCGGAAAGGTGTTTTGTGAGCACAACGAAGTAAGCACAAAGGCAGAGGGTCGTCTCCCAGAGGCCCTCCCTATTGTTTTAGATGTGTTCCGTGTTGATTGACAACAGTCGTCAAGATAGGCTACCAAATGCAACACACCATCAAATCGGACACTCGCTGTGGACAAGAAGAAGAAGAAGGAGAAGAAGAAGATAAAGAAGAAGAAGAAGAAGAAGAAGAAGAAGAAGAAGAAGAAGAAGAAGAAGAAGAAGAAGAAAAGAGGAAGAAAAGGAGGAGGAAGAAAACGCCAGTTTGAAAAACAATCCCCGAACGCGACTTTTTTTAAAAAAATATAACATGAAGTACGCGGCGGCTTGACCCGACTAGTTTCGGCTGCTCCGCCAAGCAGTCCTCATCAGGGGTCAGAAGAGTCGACGCAGGTAACTATTCATCGAAACTGTCGTAGTTATATAGGCAGAGTTAGTCTAGCTAAAGATAGAAAATTGGAGTCCAAGAAAAACCAGTGTTGAGACTACGTCTACCGATAGAACTCTGGGTCGACTCATTCGAACTGCAAACAAGCCTTCTCTCGTCAACATCCGAGATCCAGAAAAAGAAAAGTAACATCATACGAGCCTCTGACCACTACTAAACCACAAGCAGTACCGTCCACAACTGGAATGACTCCATCCGTTTGTCAGCAAAGAGACTCGAACTTAGGACCTAGTAGCACCTTCGTAACTCAAAAAACGTGTCACCTGAGAAAAGACAAAATTAAGAACTGAAAAAATAGAAAAAAGAATAGTCCATATTACCAAACGACACGTGCATCATGAAACCTGTACTAAATATTCTCACTCCGTCCGCAGATCCAAAAATAAGATATTAGAGCCAAGACACGGTACTATTAATGGTCAGGTACCGTGTTCGACTCCAGAAACACATTCTAACTAAGCCACCGAAGGTCCCGTGGATGGTACCCCTATGACCTGCACAGTCACATCCTCTTCCTAAGCCACCTATCCCAACCAGTTAGTATCGGTAACCAATGCTTCCAACATCCCCCAAATTTGTCCGAAAAATGAACCACCGCAGTATCATAGTAGTGATCAGGATAACCTCGCCACCACAACTCTCGCTTCAATGAGAGGAGAAAGTCCAACTCAATGCCAGGAACAGAGGTGAAAGATCGAGCGCGATGCAGCAAAGATATTATAACTGCCATCTTCTGCTTCTTGCCAGAATAGGACGTGAAATCCTGAATACTCTGATATACCAATCCATCGCTCCTCTGATTCTTGTGAGTGGCAAAACAGACAACTTGACAAGAGGAAGTGCATATCTTGATCACACACCCAATAAAATCCAAAACGTTGCCCTCACTCGTCCTTTCCAGAGTAAGATTCCTGTCATAACAATCTTCGAATGCATATAGGATGGAAGAAGCCCTCAGTCGAGAACACTCGTCACTATGTCGATAACTAACAAAGAAAAAGACGTCATCAACAATGCGGAAACCATGCACCAATTTCATATCATTTCCCAATCAACACAGAAACAGGAATTCAAAAAAGGCACAGAGTAAGCAGGCTAAAGCAGGGCTAGTAGACTTGCCCATTGGAATACCAACTATCTGCCTCAAAAGCCTCCCCTTAGCTTTGATGAAAGTATTATCCAGATTGAATGAGACATAACGAAAGATTTTAGCAAAAGAAACCAAAATCCAACCATCCTCGCCTTTACCTTTTGTCAACTTTGCCTTCTTTCCATGTTTTCGAACCATCACTCGAGAATAATTTTCCATCTCCCAATGATCAGCAACCCATCTCACAGCTCGCAAAATTGAATCGTGCGGGAGATTGGAGAACATTTCTTTGACATCAAATGAAGCCCCAATGATTGTCTCATTTTTATCTCGTTGCATGTTCATCTTATTAAGCACAATCATCAAGTCGTTCGTACAACCTAGATTAAAATGTTGATCCTCCAACAACTTCCATAGCATCTCGTTGATCGCAAATGCAATGCGTCTTCCACTGAGAGCAGAACTTTCGGGGTAAGATGGGCAGATCGGCCGCCATCTGTTGACATCCTTATGCTTTGGAATGCAGTACGCCTCACCAAACTTCGCATCGGAATTCCACTTCCCAATTGAGTCAAACTTACCGAGTAAGAATTTTGCCTTTACTTCTTCGATCATCACCTCTTCAGACTTGTTAACCAATAGAAAAGAAGGATTATCAAGGAACAACTTCTTCATACCATGCAAATAAACACTCGGGCAGCAGACAAAGGTATCGCCAAGGTTATGGTCAATCAGTGAACAAACTAACTTATCCAAACTTCGCATCAGATCATCAAGATCGTCAATAGAATAAGAGTCTTGTAACTCGGAGGAGAGAGTAAGACAACTTCGTAGATTGGACTGTGAAAGCTTACTGAAATCAAGAGCACAAGAAGAATGGTAAGTTTTAAATGAATCTACAATCTGCTTTCTAAGAAGAGGAATAGGGTTATTTGCAGAAAAACAAAGCACATTACGAGAATTACGAGTCCATGAAGGGAAAAAGTCAGTCTCGCTGAACCGAAAGGAAACATGCTGGTCAACTCGAGAAAAACGACCATCAGCGGCGCTGCAAGTGCACTGAGTATCAACTTCACGGGAAATCAAACGGAAATTATGCAGACGTCACCTACCGTGTGATTCTTACACCAGACTACACGCATACGGCGGATAATCATTCGCTTCCATCCTCCATGGATCGGTAAAGAATCGATCAATCGACTACAAACCTTTCTTATTTCAGTTTTGCATAGTCGATGGTCGTACTTAATCCTAATCACCAGCCTTCGTCGAATAGGTAAGTCAAACAGGGACAAAATTGTTTTTGACAAGATCACCCTCAACCTACTCCGCGTTGTCTTTTTTTGAAAAGCACGGATCCCAAAATAGACTTGGATTAGAGAATCAAGACTCCACTCAGAAAGCTTCTTCCGACTTCGCGGTTCACTCACCAACTGCACCAAGAATGGTTTGAACGCCAAGTACTTCTGACAGAAAGGCACAATAGACGAAAAAGTGATAAAAAAGTTACTCATAAGACACCCTTTATAGGCACGTAACTGGTCAGTTCTATAATTACAACACACGATAGATGACCCAAAACACCTCTTTAATAGCTTCCATCGATCCTCACGTAACTCACCTCCACGACTTACAACAAAAAAGGACAAAATTTTTTGGTCCACACAGTAATTCAATATACGTAACAGGCTAGTCGACACAATCCCCACCGACGAATGAAATTTTAGCAAAGATGAAGACCCAGTGAGAGACAATCCAGAGTGGAAAGGAACCAGTGCCCCAACTTTCTTCTTTTTTCGCAACCTCTCTCGCTTCCCCGTACGTCTTCGTCTCGAATTCTTCTTCGTATCCTTGGTATTCAGAGAAACACTAAACAATCTAATAAAGAATTTCTCAGTTCCCAAAGGGTCTTCCTCAGAGCAAAAACAAATAGGAATAATAGCAAAATTTTCAATACCGAATCTTCTCGTCTAACGATACAACCTCGCATTACGACTACCTTTTTCAACAACCAAATCACTATGTGATTTATAAACGTGTTCCCTCCATCTGGCATCAGTGCAACGACCAGAACTTCCGATATACGTATGATGACATCAGGGTGAGAGGAGTGCATATACGACAGGGCCACGATTTCCAAAGTGTCCATCAGAACCTTGCCACCAATCACAAATGTGTCCGACGAACTTCGACGCCCACAGAATACAGCCAGACAGAATCAACAGAATCGCAATTAGGTGAAAGAAATCATTTAACGACTTATCTCGCAACCACTGTACGGAACACAATCTCAGCTTAACACAAGAATTAGCGATAGACCATAACTTAGTCGCGCTCGGGGGAGAGCCTACGAAGTAGCAGCATCTCCCTCAGCCGACACTTCCTTTTCGGCCATTCCCCCGCCGGTGTCATCGGACACCTCTTGTACCGCCTTACCTTCATCCGAAAATGTCGTCTTCATCCGCTGGTTGATAATGTCTTCCACTGACCGTTTGCTGGTAACGTACTTCAAACCTTCCTTGGCGCAAATTTCAATAATCCCATCTTTCTTCCGATTCCCCAAGTCTTTCCGCTGCTCCTTAGCGAATTTCTTCTTCTCCATGGCTCGTGCAGAGAGAGGTTCAGTAACTGTCTTCTGCTTGCCTTTATCGGTTGACGCCATCTCCTCGATCCGTTGTCTCAGATTGGTGCATGGAACACGCTGAGCGGCCTCTATATCAGCAATCACAGTTCTAAGACGTTCGTTCTCCAGCTCTTGTTCACAACGAGCATTGGCCTCCTCTTCCATCGTAACTCGCAATTGGTCGTTTTCCGGCTCCTTCTCTCTTCTCGCATTAAAGTCTACAATGCGCAGGTTCTTGAGGGCCTCCAGCTCCAGATTGTGCCTATGCACTATACCAGCAAGACCAGTGGTTGGTTCAGGAGTCGCCCTGTTTCGTGTGCGAGCAACAGTGGTGGGAGTAACGGCAGCACACCCACGCTTGTTTCCTGGCCTCAACGCCTCGTTCTTCCAAGTTTCCACCTCCTTTAACGCCTCATCTCTCATTGTCCTCATCAATGTCATCTCATTCTCCAATATTTCCAACCGCTTCTGTGCAGCTATAGATTCTTCGAGCTTCTTCTTCATTGCTTCTTGCTCACGTAACAGTTGCCTGATGAGTTCCTCCCCTTCGATGGTGGCCTTGGTCGATGATGTGGAAGCAACTGCGTTGTTTGCAAATGACCTAAGCCGATCAATCTCCTTCTTCCTAGAATCACCTTTCTTTTCGTCCATCTTCTCACAAATCTTTTCCCATTTCTTGTTCATATCCTCCATCATCTGCCGATGCATCTCTTCTCTTTCCTTGCGATCTTGTTCACGTCGTTCTTTCTCGTCATCGTCTCTCTTCTTCTTTTCTTCTTCGTCCCGTTTGCTCTTCACTTTCTCAACTTCAGCATCATGGCGAATCTTGATCTCGGCGACCGTGTTCTCCAAAATAATCAAACGTTGCCTAGCCTCGTACCACCCGTTGCTCCGATGTTGACCGGTGACGGCAGAGTAAGCAGTGGATGAGAAGTAGTAGCAACAGTATTCCCAGTACGATGTGGGCACCATCTGGCAAAGTGACCAGGGTCGCCACAGTTAAAACATGTGCGAACGATAGTTGATGAAGGCAGATTAGAAGCCATACTGAACGACTACGTACTACAAAGTTGAAGCCACTCCGATGTGTTTCTACTCCTTGTACGTCCTCCTTTGCTTTGTGGTAATGTTTTCCTTGTTACAAAATTGGTTTTTGCCCCCTTTTGGGGGGTTATGGGCTGCGCCGCGCTTTGCTGCAGTGCAAGGCAAAGGCAACGCGGAGGTGTCGGGCAGGCAAGCCTACCCTTATGACCCTTCGTCACCCCGAAAAATTAATTTAATATCGTGTGGCCCGATGGACCACAGATCAGATATTAAACTGATCAGAACAGATACTACACTTGATCTTAGCCAAAAGGCCGAGAAAGGTATGGCTCTCCAATCGGCGGGTCCGGTATATATACCAGCACTGACTGTGTGAAGATGCTGGCTGAGTGGCTCGGGTAGGCACATAGAAGTTATGGGTTTCGCCATCGGACTTGCGTGCCAAACTGCTTTCACAACAGGACTTTCTGGATGTATATGGGTGCTTTCTTACAACTGCGCCTGGATGCACCTGACCGCAATACGGACCGTAGATAAGTTGCCAAAGTCCTAGCGGGAGAATGCCGTTATGCTGGCCCTAGGAACACTTCGCGGGCAGATAGAACGGCAGTCTCGCCGCTCGCACTTAGGGCATCGCCACACCACTCTCGAAATGGCCAAAATGTGAACGAACTTCCCCGTAGACGATGGCCAGATGCACCGGTCACATGTTTGTCGTTTTCACATTTCGAGAGTGGTGTGGCGAGTTCCTTACCAAATCTGCAAAACGTGAAGTGTATCAGCAGCTAGGAGAAGGAAAGTTAGGGTCGTTTTCTTCTGTTTTTCGTCTTATTTGGCGGGTGGAGGAGCCACGCACTAAGGGCCAGATCCCACTAGCCCCTATTGTTCATTTCGGACCGTTGACTTCGTAATCGAGGGTGAAAAATGAATAATCCAGGGTAGTGGGATCTGACCCTAAGTCTTGAGGTGCGAGAACTGCTGGGTGCTTTGGGGTACGAGAAGGTGGCCCGGTTGGGAGGGGAGCTGGCCAGACAGAGGGCCTCACTCCGTTACTCTCCAAATGTGCAAAAGAAGACTGAATCGTGCGCTAAAACATGGACACGATACATTGCTATATTTTTTCAAATTGTCGTTTGTGAATGTGGAGAGTAGTGGAGCGAGGCCCGGAGACTGGGCGGGAAAACTGGGAAATGCCGAATTGAGGGACAAAATTGGACAACTACGTGGGATTGGGCAGCAAGTGGCTGTGAGGTCCAGCTTTGTTGTAGCGTAGCACAGACATAGTACAGACATGCAATAGATCTAGCACAGCATAGGACCACAAGGGCCATAGGACGATGCCCCGCTGGTATTATCCTCACGCTTGCTTAGCATGCACGACCCTGGAAGGGCAACTTGGCAACTTCCCTGAAGAATAGAAGGGCAACTTGGCAACTGCGCTCCGAATAGACAACTGAGACATGACAATAGCCTGGCCCTCCACAGTCCAAAGTATGGCCTCACGTCCCTATCCCATAGACGAGATCACCAAGCACCCACGGGTTCCTCAGCTGTTTTGTTTGGACACCACCACCAGTACTTCCGAGGCACTTTTCTCCGGGGCCGGAACACGCCCTGTGTGGCAAAAGAAAAACGAACCACTGGGGGCCTCCTTTTGGCTGGTGCCGCCACTCATTTTGCTCTGGAGGAGGAGCCCCTGCATGCACACTGCATATTTTATTCTTTGGCCGGGAAACGTACTGGTGGTATAACATGCCGCGTCGGGGGTGGCTTGGTACCGGATCTGTTTGGCTGCAGCGCCAGCCACATTTCAAAGATTCATGGCATGTCAATTTATTTTGCTTTTGGCGTGCACCACACATCCGCCTCTCGGAAAAGAGGCCCGCCATGAGGTGGTGGTTAAAACACCAGTTTGCCAGAAGCTAGGTCAGGCTCTTACCTGTTTATGCCGTACGGCGATGATGTTTCGGACTTGGAACGGCAGTGAACGTGGAAGGCCACTATGAAGAAAAACAGTTGGAGGCTCGCTCACCTTGGAAGGTAGCTTTGTAAAATTAGGCTGCTGTGAACCGGTGGTTTAGAAAAGGGGCCCATGATGTTGGCCACAGCCTCCACGGATGGTCTTCTTACAACCAGGTTCTTGCTTCTTAATGTGAACATTGCAACTCACCGGGGAACGCAAGAGGTCTGATGCTCGAAACCCGGCCGCAGGCAGGGGTTTCGAGACAAGTATCCGAGCTGTGGGATCCAGCCATTGTGGCTTCCACATCGGCGACAGGTCACAGGGTATGTGACTGTTTGCGGGCAGGTCACCTTGGGGAACTCTGGAACCTGAGTTGGAGTGTAGCGTACCCTGTTGCTGGCGATCTCTGGGTCGGTCGATACCTGCCCGTGAAGGTGTGTGTGGTCAAGGTTGAGTGTTCCGTGCTGAAGTGCCCTTTGTGTGGGTGGGTTCACTGTGCTGACAAGGTGGGCTGAACACAGCGCATCCAGCCCCCTGTCGGAGATCCTCTCCCAGCACTGTCCCTGACACCCCTGCCACGTCAGACCCCTTAGGCACTATAGCCAGATTGTTTGACTGGTAGATCACAACAGCTATGGCTGGTATTGGCTAGGAAAATATTGTCTCTGGGGTGGTGTGTTTGGTATAAGGGATGACTAGGTTTGCAAAAAAAATAAAATAAAAAATCATGTTAAAAAAAAAAAAAAGCTTTCTGGTGTTCTGTAACTTTTGGCGGCATCTGGCCTTCTTCCTCATTCGGGATATAGGATTTCAGAGATGATCGAATCTGGACTGATATCTGCAGAGCTGCTTTGTTCGGTGCTCCTGGTTTGCTGATGCCAGAACAACGCTGGCTGGAGCTGGGGGGTTGCCCTGTAACCTGCAAATGGCAGGAGTGTGCGGCCTTGTAGAGAGATCTGGGGATTTGTTGAGGAAGGAAGGCAATCCAGTGGCGAACCGGGGGGGGCTGCCTTGACAACCTATGGGTTCAGGGATAGTCTAGGTGGCGAGAACAGGTCAGCTACGGTTGACGTTGGTTAGGCCGTGACAGGCGGGAGGGACGGGCCACTTTTCGAAATGCCTTTTGAATGCATTCGGACTGGGAAAAAAAAAAAAAAGGATGGCATTGTCTTTGAGATGTAATGTCCTGGTACAGGGAGGGCTAGGAGTTGTTCCAGGATTAGGAGACCAGAATTGCTGATATAGCATAGTCTTTATACTAACCATCATCATCATTATACTAACCATCATCATCTTTAGCATCATCATCATTAGTATGATTATCTTACAGTTTACACAGAAATTCATCATCATCATCATCATCATCGTCATCATTGTTATCATCATCATCATATGAGGGACGCTGAGCCCGATTCTCAGCATGTTCTGTTCAGTCACTCTGGGTAGACTGTGAGGACCAGATGCTGCCGTACTATTTATCGACTTTGAAAAAGCGTATGACCACGTGGACTGACAGTTTCTTGACAAATGAACATCGGACATGTATTCAGACACTGGGTCAACACACTGCACCACTCGGCACCAACTAACATAATGATAAATGGCCACCTGTCGCCACCATTTCCCCTCCATAGATCGGTCAGACAAGGGGAGCCGATAACCCCCTTGCTCTTCGTGATTGTGATGGAGGCACTTGCAATGCTCATTCGGGCAAACCCGGCCATTGAGAGAATAATCATTCCAGAGTTGCCCCCCCACAACACCCCAATCACCTCGCTATTCGCAGATGATCTCACAGTCCTCATAAAGGCTACTACGATGTAGCGGACCTCGGGTTGGCCTGTGAGACCAGCCCCTTGGCCTGTTCTCACAGGCCTGTGTTATATTCGGGGTAGGCCAGTCCAGGCCGGTACCTCTGTCGGTACCAGCCAGTCCAGTCCAGTCCCGTCAGTCCGCTGGGGTATACCCCAGCCATTGTCTGTTTCCAGCCTCATTCCTTACTTGCACATTTTGGAGTATGTGCGTTGGAGTCTTGTGTGGGGAGCTGCGTTGTGCCATCTTGCTCCCCCCTTCTTCCTCCATCTCCATCTCTGTCACTAGCGGAGCACCACACCTGGTGGGTCCGCTACATTGGTATCGGAGCGGARACGGTCCCCGCCCCCACCCACCACACCGYACAGCAGCGAAATACKGCAAAACCCGACAGTCGGGTTTTTGGCTGTTTTTGGGGCGTTTTCGGGCAAAAAAAAGCGGGAAAAGGTGCTGCAGCAGGAGAGGTCCACGTGGCGAAAAAGGAGGCTGCATCACGGCGCTTGCAAGGCCAAGGCCGCTGCACGCGCGCGCGTGCCACGCGCCCACGCTGCCTTGCTGCCCCGCCCCGCCCCGCTTCCGGATTTATATTATCAAGATTTGGGATGCAACTGCTGCTGTTGGGGTTTGAACCCAGACACTGCTGGAGCCATGCGCGTGCGTAAGCAACCTCATAACACACTTGCCATAGTGTGTCCATGGTTGAGTAGCACGGCACATTCGTGTTGAAGAGGTGCCGTGCTGGCTATTTACCCCCCCCCGGCGGC